ACCCCAGCCCCACCCCACCCCACTGTATGGATTGTAAATACAGAACACTAGAAGTTTTTGGTAATAAAAGTACACTGCAAAGTTTACAGCAGTTTAGGCAATTACAGAGGACTTACCGTAGCAACATCCCTAGACACTCCAATGACCATTGTAGACGCAATAAAGTTACATACCTGCTCACATAACAGTTAAACAAAACACCGGAAGCTGTAAAATGTTTGGACAAGTTGGATATAAAGAAAATAAAATGGTGACTGCAAATTTGCTAGTCAGGTGGAAAGTTAAAACAAGTTTATTGCAATTTGAAGAACGACCCCTGGTAGTTTGAAAAGGCAAACAAAGTTGCCTGGATAGTAGAAAACGTCTTGTTACAAAGATGAACTCGTGCAAATTACTTGGAAAAATAATCCGATGGGAAGTCGAAATAATAGATAGAAAGTTGACAAAGCTTGTTTGAAAATCAAGAAAGAACTACCGGTAGTAAGGTTTGGTATAAAGTTGTAAAATGTGTATGAAAAGTCAAACAATTAGGCTGGACAAATTGGTTGGAATCTTGCAAAAGTTGGCCGTTAATTCATTTAGATCAAAAATAAAACATAAATTGCTTGAAAAGTTTAGCCAACTTGGAAAGTTTTAATAAGCAAAATGTTGCATGTAAGTTATTCTCAACGACCTGATTTATGAAGTTTATATTTTTTTAATTATTTTCTTTATCACGATTTTACTGCAGTTATGAAAAATTTAGAAATGGCGATGTATATTTTGTGAGAGCTAGAAAGTCAGCTTGACTGAGAGTTGTATAAGGTGTGTGACCGCCGTTCTTATGATAGGTAGAAAGTCCAAAAATTTATCTGGAAATATTATATAGAAAAATGTATAAATTTGCTGGAAGGTCAAAAACAGATGGAAAGACGCAATAATTGACTGCAAGTTTAGTAGAAAATTGTAAGATGCCTGAAAAGTCAAAGAAATTGTTAAAAAAGTTTGCTTGCAAAGTAGTTCAAGTTGTCAAATCAGACATCCCTCCCCCACAATGGTAGTAGCTCATGAAAAGTTGGGTGGAAAGACGAACAATTTGTGTTAAAAGCCGATAAAGTTGGTTAGAAAGTCAACGAATTTGGTTTGCAGGTTGTAAAAGTTGCCTTAAATGTCTTGCATCTCTTCACCAGTAAAGTAATTGAGTAGCCGTTATTTTATTTGTCAAAAATTGTGTTAAAACGTGTGTTGGAAAGTTTTATACAATGTAAAAGTCGGTTGGAAAGTTGAAACAGTCGTGTGGAAAAAACAAATAATTGACTAGAAAAGTCGAACTAGTTGGCTGAAACGGTAAGAAAAGTTAGTTTGAGCGTAATATTGTCTGACAGGTAAAAACAAGTTTGGTGGAAAGTCAAAACATGTAGCTAGAAAGTCACAAAAGGGCTGTTGGAAAGTCGTAAAACCAAACTGGAAAGTGTGGGGGGGTAGTGGGGAAAGTTGTAAAATGTGGTTTTGAATGATGAATAAATTTGGTTAAAAAGTCGAGAAAGTTGATTCTTGTCATGTAATTAAAGACACATGTTTGTTTTTGTCTTGCTTATGTGAAATCAGGAAGAATTCATTGCAAATTGTGAAATGATGACGTGCGAGAAAAGTTGGCCGGAAAGTCATAAACTTTGATTGGCATACTGCAAAATATAAAAGGTTGGCTGGGAAATCCGAAATGTTAGCTTGAAAGTCGAAAAAGTATTCCGGAAAATTATTAAAACTGTATTGAAAATCAATAAAAAGTTGAAAAGTGTTATTAGAAAAAGGTAAAACGAGGCTGCAAAATTATAAAATCATAAAGTAAAATTGAGTGAAAAGTTGTAAACGTTGTTAAGAAAATCGAAAATGTTGGGTGGACCACAGTCAATATAGTCTATAGAGGGACTGTGGGCGGACGTACAATACAAATGGTGTACTCTTTGTTGGGTCACTGGCAGCAGCGTGATATCCTGTATTTTTTATAACTCACAGGGAAACCAAAATGCGCTTGCGCTAATTGACACCGCGAAAAATCGAAACTTACGTCTGTGATTTAGTGTTTCCTGTTTTTGGAAAGGGTGAGACAAATATAACACACTGTTTTTCTGCGTACTAATCATTTTCAAATTGATCATACAAGCTGTCATACAATAGGTGAAAGAAAGTTATTTTTATGTCGATAGCAGATTTAGTGACTTAAAGGGCGGCAGTCGTCACGCCGCGTCCTGTTCGATATGGGACTCATAACGACGAATACAACGCTTGTAAAATACATTGTTTATTTACATGTAATTCGAACACGCGCCGCGAGACGACCACCGCGCTTTAAATTAGAGATAAATATTTTTATCCAATCATATGTAAGAAATATCACCGTAAAAATAAAATCATCAAATCACTTATTATCGCGTGATGAAATTCATTCACAGGTGATTTCAAAATACTCAAAGCACAGCCATTGTCGTTCGTTTTGTACTGCGACCTCTACAGTTGAATCTTGTGTTTACCTTATCATATCCGTTATTGCACGAACATTCGATTTTATTCCGAAAATCCCACAGCGTAATTTCTAGAGTATGTCGTTGTATATATTTTATACAATTGTTTGAAAACAGCTCTTAAATCTATGCTACCTGGAATGCATCGATATTTCTCTATGATATAAATATGGACATTTCAATATTTACTAAGTAACAACATGTCCTCGTACGAGCACTCTTCCAGGATATAAAATATTGCCCGAGATAATACCTCGAGGCCACAGGCTGAGATGTGGCATCTTGAGGAGGACTTAATATCTAGAAGAGTCTTAGAAGAGCGGGAACGGGTGCCTATGCTCCTGTTTTCAAATGGAATGTACTATAACAGTTCTAGAAAATATTACGCAATGTGTCACGGTCGACCTTTTGCAAATTGTGGTCATTGATCTAATTATGGCATACAATTTGCATACTGAAATTGTCGTAAAAGCTGCCTAATAATACCCCACGAATTTTTATGATGTAACTCGGAATATCATAAAGCTCAAGGGTCAATGACCGACATCGTGCTACAGATAGATAACCCGATAGATAAATGGGCAGTTATTCCGTCGCGTCGGCATTTGTGTAACTTCCGATTTTGAACCCAATCCTGTGTGGCTTCTTCTGAGCACAGTAAAACTTCATCTTTGATGTCACAAGTTGAAGTTGAGAAAATAAGGCAGACTCGAAACGGGACATTTGGTTATATCAGAGGTGCATCTGGTTATATAAAGTCCTGTAATGCAGCTTTCTGATTGGCAGAAAAGTACTAGGTGGGTTTTAACTTGTAATTACCTCGTTGCTGAATATACTCTTGGAAAGATGTCTGCCTGTATGGCGTTCTTGGTGCTAAATTATCGTCGTGAAGGGAAACAGCGTACAATATTTGCATTTTTTTTAGAAACACCGCCGTCTACCCGGAATACAATTAAAAAAAGACTGGATAAGGTTGTTTTTGTGCAAGAAATATGCAGACAGATTTAGTAGCAAAGTAGATAATAAAACAATGCGCGAGAACCGACATGAACAATTTATTGATTTGTAGCATGTTGCATAACTGTAACTAAGAACCTACAAACTTTTTAAAACCAAAATAGAACAAGAAAACTACTTAACAATTATGAAAAACAGTGAACTTCGCAAATCCTTAACAAAATTTAGACTTGGCAACCACTGTCTGAAAATTGAAACAGGCCGGCATACAGGATTGGATTTTAAAGACAGAGTCTGCAATATGTGCGACAATGACCATGTTGAAGATGAACAACATTTTGTCACAAATTGTCCTCATTACAACGAAATAAGATTAAAACTTTACATTGTAGCTAATAAACGTATACCAAATTTTGACAAATTTAGTAATGAAAATAAATTCATATCATTACTAAGTGACGAGAAAATGTCTATTCCTTTAGCGCAATATTTAAAAAACTGTTTTAATAAAAGACAGCAGCACCTACATAAACTAAGCCAGTAATACATTCCTTGTATTCAAATTATTATCTTTTTTTTTTGTATGCCTTTTTGTTCCCTTACTTTTTATGTGGTTATTTTTCTTTTACTAATATCTGATTTGTAACCCTTTTCATCCCCTCCGGGGGATGTTGTGTGTTAATAAATAAATAAATAAATAAATAAATAGTACAGAAGTTTGTGAACGTCTTCTCAGATCAATGGAGTGATGGTTGATTTTGTCATGAGTTAATGAGCCAACCGAGTGACTCCGTCCTCGTTAACAGTGCGAAAAAACAAAACAAGGGGTAGACCATTCGGTTTTTGAGGGGGTACCACTATAAAGATGCAGGGTCGCAGTCGACTGTAGTGTGCCTATTTTCGTAGGTTCCCATTTTTTAGTCCGCGTTCGAACGAAGTTCGAAATGGGGACTTATAATTCGTTCTCCGTCCATCCGTCCGGAGTCATATCTCAAAACCATGTGGACCAAACTTGTTTTTTGCATGTGCCTAGTACTTCATCTGGGACCACAGTCAGCTGGCGCACACGTGATAATAAAATAAATACGATATTTACTATAAGTTTTAGGCATCATTCAAGATGGCGGCCCCCATATAGTAAATATCATATTTATTTTATTGTCACGTGTGAGCCAGCTGACTGTGTCTGGGACATATACACATGCAGTGGTTTACTGATTCAATCCCAGATGGCTGACTGGCTGCCGTTTTGTTTTTTGAAAATGTGGCATCTTAAGCATGCTTTGTCAGTTATTATTCAAATTTGGTACATACATTATATATGTTAGGAGACATGTCGATGACGATTCGTTTCACGACCAAATCAAAGATGGCCGACTGGCAGCCATCTTGTTTTTTTGGAAATGTTGTATCATGGACATTGGTTTGTCATCTTCATTCAAATGTGTTATATGCATTGTACATTTTAGATTACATTTTTATGACAGTTTGTTTCATAATCATTTCAAAGATGGCCGACTGACAGCAATCTTACTTTTTGTCCATACTACTATAATATCTCCAAGGCTTATGGACCATTTTCATTCAGATATGGCACACACATTATGCATGTTGGAATACATGTCCCATGTTAGTTTGGTTCATAATCAGATAAAAGATGGCCGCCTGGCAGCCATCTTGCTTTTTGACCATACTCCTATCCAAGGCTTAGATCATTTTCATATTTGGTACATGCATCACACATACAGGAGTACATGTTCGTGTCAGTTTGTTCCATAATCTCATCAAAGATGTCGTATCTTGGACAGGATTTGTTGGTTTTCGTTCAAATTTTATACAAACATTATACATGTCCATGGTGATTCGTTTCGTGTTTGAATCCAAAATCACCAATTGGCAGCCATCTTGTTTTTTCAAAATGCATTGCTGACATGTTTTTTTTTCTTCAAATTATACATGTTAGGATGCATGTCCATGACAATTAGTTTCACAATCAGGACCAAAAATGGTTGACTGCCTAAAATCTTGCTTTTTGACCATACTACTATACCGTATTAAAATAGAAAATAAATATTTAAAATAAATAAAACATAAATAAAATTCAGTTTGAATACAAGAAATGCATGAATAGCATATCTTGTTTAATTTCTGACCATAAATTTCGATTTTATAAGAGTCATATATTACATCTATTTTATGTTGATGTTAGACCAGCCAATTATTCATTCCCAATTACTAATTATGCTTTTAGTTCATATTACTTTATTTTTGGCATGAATAACATTTCTTATAATTCCCAACGGGGACTATGTCATTAACAATGACTTGTTTATATTGATCCACCTTGAAATATGCAAACATTCCAGTGAAAGAGTGCAAAAAAACATCCAAAATTAAAAAAGATTTGTCTTATTGCCAAATGCCCTCGAGCTGTGACATTGCTCCTGGAGTTTCGTGATGGTGATGCCATAGAGAACATTACCGCCAACCTAGAGGGCCCGAGCTCCACAGCCAGCATGTGAAATGGCGGAAGTAATGATTTGACCGAAATTCTTGTAGCTCTTCAAATAACTTTGAATTTGTCTGATGCTACGTAGTAATAGGTCTGGATCGCTGCAGATGTAAGGTTAGACATTCATAGTGCATATTAACTTCATTTTCACTGACATCTGTTCTAAACTGCACCTGTTTTTGTTCGTAAATTGTGGAGAGTAAAATGCAGACGTGTTGTTTCACTCTAGTTACCGAATCCCGCCATACCGGCAGTATAAAGCAGTTGTTGATCGATTCTGTTTTTTATGCCCCGTAAACAATATTTACTGCGTCCTTGTTGTGTCTAATACGTGATTGTTGATAGCGCTTTATTGTACAGTATGTGTCTATATACATAGAACTGCTGGTTTCTGGTTGTACATGAAGTGAGGTTCAATCGGGGTTCAATGATGGAGTCATAGTTTAATCGCGATTCCTCGCGATTCGGGCCATCAGGGAATTATGCAACGTCGTACGTAACCTAGACCACTTAAATTTACGGCGCCACAGTTATTGTCACGCGTCATGTTTGATGAGGGTCACATGCGACGTATAGTTATAGGTATACAACACTTGTAAATACAAACGTTTGTTTGCACAAAATTATAGAAATACTGTTAATCTTTACCAAATTATAACCCATCAGTAAAGTACTACATATATTCTCACACCCTTAAACAAATCTCAAACCATTGCAACATTGCATAAGATAAAATGAATTTTATTCCAGCTTTTTCTAACATACCTTAGTCGTTTCCACCAATCAGATTGCAGTCTGCCCGTGCTACAATCAACATATAAACAACAACATGAATGTGATTGAGGATGAATTTCACTTTCTCATGATCTGTCCAAAATATGGAAACTTGCGCCAACAACTTATGTCTGAATTTAATTTTCTATCACATGATGCACACAATACATTCATTCGATTGCTCAGTGCAGATGATTGTGAAATTATAAAAAAGATTTCACAGTTTATTTATAAAGCCTTTCAATAAAGAATAGATAGTTGATAGCTTTGAATTTTATTATTAGTCTTAGTTTTATTATTATTAAACTTATTAGTATTAGTAAAAAATTTAACACATTACATTTTACTTTTATACTTAACATTATAATATTTTCTCTTTCTTTATTATTTCATTATTATACTTTTATTGCTACTGTACTGATAGAAATACTGTATTTCTAAAGATGCAATAAATATTATTATTATTATAAATATCCAAATACGAAAACATTTGAAACAAGCATGGGAATGTATTGTCTGGAACTGTAATCTATTGTTCGATTTGTGTTGATTGTATGTCAATTTTGCTGTCTGAATCCACACAGATGACACAGTGAAAATAACAGTAACATTAGCGAGGCAGGTTTTGCTGTAGTTGTCCGTCTCCACAAATCCATGCATGATCATGTTAGGAAAAGCTGTATTTGACATAAATTGAAAAAAAATTGATTGGGCACGCCAAGGAGCTGGATCCATCAATCAGCATTCCAGTAACAACAACTCAAATCCATTTCAAATTTAAAGCAATAGATTTTGTAGTCTTATAGCTTGACTGATTAAAACACATGATTTTACATGGAAGTGCATCACAACACGTGACTTTGTGTTCCAATTACTTTGGTAATGCATCAGGGGATGCTTGTGTTGTTTAATTTAGTTGGCAGTGAATACAGGTGTATAATGGAAATTCTGCCAAGCTACATGTATAATTGTGTAGCGGTGGTCAATAAATGAACCTTGGCTAGCAAAGATGATTGTTTAAATTGCTCAACTTTAATTTCATCTATTGAATATTCTGATTTTGAATAATTTCGTCAATCATGAATCCTTGTTACAATATATATATCATTGAATTCCTTAAGTTATAGCAACAATAAACATGTCTTGGGGTCACTAAATTACTAGCAAGTCAATCAAAATTGACAAACTGTAAATGTCATGTCATATACAATTTTATTAGTAAATTCAGGTCTTGAACTTCACAACGGCCATGAAGGAAATTACCGTGATGCCCTTACCTGTCTGCAGTGGTGTTCTTAAATGTTCACTTTGCAGTTATAATTACAAAAACAATAAATGGCATACATAGTGCATCATTTGATTTCAGAAAAACAGCATTTTTGTCAAAACACAATCACTTGTGATATTTCATGCTGTAAAAAAGACTTGTAGATTTATTGTGCGAATCGGAATGGGTCAAATACATTTTATCTCTTTAATATCATCATGACATCATTTTAGTTCTTGTTTTACCATTTAAAAAGTTCTAATCACCCCTTTAAATAAAAAGTCCTGCAGCTAAATGAACATCAACTGATCATACTACAACTTTGATAATACTATAAAAATTTTTACTTCCGCTGTACACTGTGTGATCGCAATTATTCCGAAACTGTTGGTATTACCACGCAGTATTCTGATTGGTTAATGTCATGCTAAATAATTACAGGAAGTCTCAGAGGTATTGGGGCAGCCAATTTGCAAACTTGCTAGCGAATTGGCTAACTGCTTGTGTTTTGACTAAACAGTTGGGTTTTGAATCTCGCTGGCGCCACCCACTCTGGGTGAGTCTATATTGCATTAAGGGACATAGAATGTTTTTACGTAGCCTGGCACATTTCTGGATTTCCCTGAATGATTTGCTTTGTTACCCGAGGCGTGATAACGTATAAGTACATGTAGTTTCCCTGTTCAGCCTGAGAATGACCACAGTCAGCTGGTATACAAGTGATAATATGATAAATACGATTAACCCACCAATATTTACTATATGAGGGTAACCATCTTGAACACTGCTTGAAACTAAATAAAGAGACAAGTTGAGAAACAACAAATCAGAAAACAACAAACTTGCACATCCGAACGATTCGTTAGGGGAACATTAAGCCAACCTCTAAAAAAAATCGATCTCATTCGTCGTTTTTGCGTTGACAATCACTTGTATACAAACACCTTATGACATGAAGAACATAGAACACTTTTCCTGGTATAAATAGATATCCAATTGTAAGACCGTCGTCGCTGATTACATGTAGCTTCTAAATTATGATGACCGTCCCCTGATGTTATATAAATAGCCCAGAGTGGGTGTGACCACAAGTCGTGCCAGCGAAATTCGAAAGCCAACCGGTTAGTCGAAATCAAAGCAGTTAGCCAATTCGCTAGCGAGTTTGCAAATTGACTGCCCCAATACATCTGAGACTGGCTGTAGTTGGCTGAATTTTTAGACCAGGTGAAATTTTCAAGTTTTTGTGGTTGATTGTAATTTTTGTGTAAAGATTGTAATGCAGGCATTTCATAATGTTTTGTTACAGATATCAAGAAATTGATTCTTGATGCAATCTATATGGATATGTAGTAACCATAGTAACCGAATTGTCATAGTATTGGGCTGAATATTACCTGCTGATCGTATCCACAAAGTGGTTTATGTCAGAAATGACGATTGGAGATGGTTTCAACGAAAGTGATGATGAGCTGCCGGATTTAGCATTTGCATCTGAATTTTATGCAAAATATGAACCCAAAGAAGTGTTGGGCAGGTAAGTTGATTTGAGTCAGGTGGCCTTAGCGTGCCATTGTTTACAAACAAGTGTCTACCCATGAGCCTTTGCATTTTTAGTGTGTGTTGTTATCATCACTTGGGACTCAATTCCCTCCCGCTTTAAATAGATGATATACAGGTATTAGACTTCTACATATTTGTAAGTGATCTATTTGTGAGTGATCTATCTCTTCCATATTCAATCATAGACAGTATTATACATACTACTATACTGTCTATGATTGAATATACATGTAAATAACATTAGAAGCACATCTCAAATATACTGTAAATACTTTATTTTCGCTTAAAATTAATTTTTGCTATTTTCGCTGAAGGGATAATTCAGTGAAAATAAAATCCAGAAAATGTATCTTTTTTCCCATATTTTACACGCAACTCGTCAAAAATCAGTGAAAATAAATTCCATAAAAAAACTCCCAAAAAGTATTTTACAGTAGTTCATGTGAGCCAAGCAGTTTGGTTTCAGTGGTAATTTATGCACACCAATTACATTATCATTTGGATACGACATTTATAGTACATAAACAGATACACTTCAAATTATGGTGAATCCATTTTCAATCCTATTCACTATCTTGGCGCTTTTTCTATGAAATCTTTATCAGTCTTCAAACAAAACTCATGAGGTACTTGGGGTTAAAAAAACAGGCATTGTAATAGAGAATGGATGTGTGATACGTAGATTTTTCCTATCAATATAGGTGCCAAGGGTTCATAGTAAAGTCACCTTTCAGAGCATTGTTCCCAGCTATGTGTACAGAAATAGTTGTATCTCAATAATCCGACCCTCTATGCCTCTTTCTTGTCATATTTATACTGATCAAAAAGGATTCATTAAATACATACCACACCCTCATATAATGGTGTTTGTAACACGCCCTGTATTTATACTGTGAATTAATTATTCACTTTGTTTTAATTTCGATATTTTCGCTGATAAGTGAAATTTGCTGAATTATCTCTGAGATTATGTAACGCCACAATAGAAGTTATTGTTCAACTGAAAAGTCTGTGAATTTAAACCGTTTGATCAGAATAGTGAAATTCAGTACCAGTGAAAATTAATATTATTACAATTCAGTTTGGTTAAAAGCTTTTATAAGATAATTATATTTGTGATTTATTTTGGGTAAAGCTAGAATTGACAAAGTTGCGATATTTTGCTGAGCTTAGCAACCGACATCATACACAAAAAAAGAAGAGGCACCTGATTGATTGTTTC